TTAAAAAAAAAAAAAAAAAAAAAACCATAAATAGCGGTAAAGGAAAAACGAACGAAAAAAAGGAAATAGGAAATTTCGCACTTTTACCCGCCTGTATCGCGATAACCAAATATCGCGTCGACCCGTTATACTGTAACCACCTAACGGCTGAACTTAAATTGCGCACCGCCGCTGCATTATGCACTGTGGCCAGACCCCCGATTCGTACGTTTCTTTTTTTTTTTTCCCCACCCTTCTCTTTCAGAAACACACACCGCGTTAATCTCGCTTTTAAAGTCGTCGTTAACTCCGTCGAACGAGTACACACAACGCTTGAAAGCGTTGCCAGCCATCCCATTAACGCCCCCCCCCCCCAAGCGAAAGTAATTACGAGGAGAAAAATCACCGTGAAAATTATCGAATTTTCATCTTCTCGTGTTGCTGACGGCCGATAATCTCGTTCACGTGACTCGCATCTTCGGCAAAAGAAGTGAGATTTCGTGATGCTTACCGTACGATCGCCCAGGTTTCGTACACGGCAATTGAGGGTGGCCGTTTTGCCAACAAGCGCGGTGACGTTCCGCGACGCAGAGACGTCGAAGTAAGGCCCACGATCGAGCGGTTCCAGTGCTCGATTCTCGTGCATCTCCTGATCAGCCGTGCTCCAGGCGAGTCTTTGCACTTTAAGAAGAAACAACACACAGCGGAGAAAAAAAGGAACAAAGCACACTCGCGTGTATATAAATATAAATATATATAAGAATATATATATATATATATAGAGAGAGAGAGAGAGAGAGAGAGAAAGAGAGAGGAAGACATATACAAATGCAGAGGAAAGCAGCTTTCAATGGGCTCGTTTCAATCTCCAGATTGCGGTGGATTGTTCTTTGACCCGAAAGATTATTTCCCGTGCTTCGCCGCATCGCGAGCCGCTTTAACGCCAGAAATCGCGAGTAGAATGGAGAAAAGAGGGAAATGCTCGCCACGTTTCGTCGTTCGTTATCGGAATTTTGTTAACTCCTCGTGTTTACCGCGGAACTCTCGTACACGCCAGTGGGGGCGTGCACGATATACGGGCCAGAAGTGGCAAGAAATCATTTTAACGTGTCCCGAAGTGGTACGCGGTAAAAGGCCACGTATATTATGTATATGTATACATATACTGCACATATATATATAGTACATATATGTATATATTATATATATATATATATAGTCATATATCTCCCTCTTTCGAGTTCGGGCATAGACCTTGCCTGCGTTTCGTCATAAAGTATTAAAGTAGCTGGTGAAGTTTCAACGTCGCAGTTTCAGAAACTACTTTATCTTATAATACGTGGCAGTGAACTATCGCCGGCAACCCGTTCTGTCACGTTTCCCTCTTTGTGCGTGTCCCCGTGGAAAAATATATCGCGCCGCAGCCCGTAGCAGCCAGCCGCGTTATTATAACGAATGTTCACAATATTTTCATCCGACGCGTTGCTCTCGTGCACCGCGATTATATTCGTTATACCCGTTGCACCTGAAACTTTGTTCCGCCACCGGTTTCATAAACGGCAATCGACACGGTATACAGCACGAAAAAATTACCCCTTTCTCACATTACTTTATTATCTCCCTCCTGAAAAATTTTGTTTTTTTTCAGAGAGGAATAGTGTTTCAACGATGCGCACAGCACAGCAGGAAGAAGAAAGGGAAATTCAATCGAGCTGCGTTTTTAAAAGCCTCATTGTTCGGGCAAACGACCGATTACGCCGACCAATTCAAAAAAAAAAAAAAAAAAAAAAAAAAAATCCCCCTGGAACTGTTAAACACGTGGCCGATGAATTTCCACTTACCCGAAAACAATAGACCCAGGGTAAAAAATAAACCCTTCATTTTTTGTTTCTCTCTCTCATAGTCGATCCACACGATGTCGCTCGATATAATCGTCGCGTTTTACAAAAGGAACGAAAAAACAGAAGAAAAGAAGAAAATCCACCGCAGCTCTCGTTTCAACCGGTGGGCTGTAGAGGAGAGGAGGAGGAGGAGGGAGGGAGGGGCGGGAAGAGGAAGAGGAGGAGGAGGAGGAGGAGAAATGGAAGAGGAACACGAAGTGAGGAGGCAGCAAGGAACAAAAAAGAGTTTTCGCGTCTTCTACGCGATCGTTCTTCCTTCGGGGCAAAACTTTCACTTATCAGTTATTATTTTCATCGAAGCGATCCCATCCACGACGCGTTAATCTCCCCCTGGTGTGGTACGATAATCCAGAATCGAACGTTCGATACAGCATCTCAGCGAGACAAAAGCGCGTACAGATCAAAATCGCAATAGAGGATACGAATAGGGGATGGGCATCCGATTTTTGTATGGTTTTTCACTGGATGTCGCCATTATGTCTCCGCTATTCGAGATCTACGCGTTGGCATGCATAGAAATCGTCCCCGATACTTCTTTCCCATAATCGTCCGGTCTCTCTTCTTCACTTGGCGACACTAGTGCCTCTCTCCGTCTTCCCGCTAGAAACGTGCCTTTCTATCCGTGAACTGCCTAATTGACCATTACGATTACGGAGAAACGAACAACCCCTTCCTTCGCTTCTCCTTTTTTTTTTTTTATTCTGCCGTGTCGTTTGAAATCGAGCAACGTTTGAAAACGACCAAGACAACGGAAATATTCATTTACGTCGGGGCTCGTGCACCGCGACCTCTCCTTAAAATATATTCTATTATGCAAATGGAACCGGGTCTCAACTGATCTTCATTCTTCTCTCGTAGCGACGGCCCACGGAAAATTACTACCGCGTTCCCGGTATTCGACGTTGCTAAACGAAATGCTAACTTCGGCTAACGTCAAACAGGCGATCCGATCCCTGTCAATTGCAAAACGTGTCGTCCAACGAATTGGAGGAAATAGGAGCGTGCGTGTGGAGTGTGCGCTGCGCGCGGATGGATCTTCTCTCCGAAGCGGAGTTTTCACCCCGTTGAAACAAGGAGCGCGACGATCGTACAGGGTAACACGACGAAACTCGTGTACGAGTATCCGAGCGAAACTGACAGTGCATGCGACACGGCCCGGGAGAGACGCCCTGCCATCTGTCCTTGCACACGCCCCGCTTTCCCTCACCCGAAGTCAACGGGAAGATGGGGTAGACACCGTCCGGCGCAAGCGTATCCCTTTAGTTCTATTACAGGCACGCACACAACGGTGCATTACGGGGTGAACGTGCAGCATCCCTAGTCAAGAATCGAAATCCATGCCGGCCCGATCGTCGTCCTCGTCGTTGTCATTGTGGTACACGTGTCATACGCACCAACACACCTTATGCACCGTAACAAATTTCATGCAGCGCAGCGCAGACTGAGAGAGAGTGAGAGAGAGAGAGAGAGAGAGAGAGAGAGAGAAGAGTCAGTCTTTCGCGACGTTTTCCACAGGGCTGGTAAACGGGCTGGATCGAGCTAATCGTTTCGATCGTGTTCCGTAAGACAGTAAACAAAACGAGGTTTGTTTCCTCGAGTGTTTTTGACCATTGGAATTCTCCCCCCCCGCGATGCCCGATTAAAAATCACTCAAATATTTATCATTTACGCGGTGTTTGCAACCGTCAATTTAATACAGTCCTTTCGTTACGTTTTTTAACAAACAAGCATTCGGGAAAAGAGAAAATACTGTACTATCGTATACGTCACGCAGGATGTTTTATGTTTTGTCAAATTTAATAATAAATAATTAATAAAATATTTGTCAATTTTATTTTTGTCGTGCCGAATTACTCAAATTTCAACGCGACTGAAACCTAAATTCTTTAGGTATTATGTAACGTAAGGTATATTACGTTGCGCGTCCGCAAACCATACACGCGTGATATAAATCTGGAGAAAATTTGTTCAACGGAGACGTTATGCGAATTTGCCCGGTACGAGAATATACCGAAATAGGGTGCGCACTTCAAGGAAATCTTCAGCGGAACAAGATTCTAGCTAATCTCGGATATTTCGTGCTAGCGGAACAGACGTTGGGAATATCTTCGTTTACTTAAGGAACGTCGTTGCGCATTTTTCACTGGGACGTCAAGATGGTTTTACGAGAAAAGGGGTTGAATAATGGGCGTTCGTAGTATCAGTCGCTGGGAAGAAGAAACAAGTAGAAGCCCTGCGAGGCACCAAAGCATACCGTTCCCTTTTGTTCTTTCGAGTATAATGGACATGCATCGTATCTCTTTCTTGCTGCTTTTTAATGTACAATTTACACGAATGGAATTGAAAGAGAAATCGATGCCCTAAATCGTTAGAAGTGAAACGTACAAAAGACGTACGGCTTTGGTACCAAGGGACCACGGGCTTGAGTTTTCTCCCCTAGCGAGACTTCCCTTTTCCTTTCCCTCTTTCTTTTTGCCTCGGTAATCACGTAACAGCGCGCGATGATCGAAAGCTGTGGAAAAAGCGCGGATTCAGTCGGTGGTAAAACATGCAGCGCACGTTTCCCCGATAAGTTTATCTTCGAATTTATTTACGGTTCAGACGTTTAAAAGCGGCGGATATAAACGGGAATACAGCAATACAAATCCTGAAAGTGCATTGAAATTATTCTACAATCTAACGAAAATATTTTGTTGAAAATGATGAAATGAAGGATCGTAAAATACAATTGCAATGCATCATGTATTTTACGTTTGCACAACGTATTATTGAATATATTACCGAATCGTAACGTTACATTTTAATAAGCTAAAAAGATTCATTATAGATATAATTAATTAAGGCATTATAGATTATGCATAGCGTTTGTGTAATCATTTATGCGTGGTTATGAATACTTTCGATACTATCGACAGCATTCGTGACAGTGGGTATTTCATATTCGATGTTACAGTATCGATTGTACAGTTCGAGTTTCAAACTGTGAATTACACGATGATAGCGTGAACTTAACAGACTTTGGAGGTTATGAGACGGTACGGTGATGTCACGAGGACTTTAGTTACGATTTTTAAACGTAAAAATGTTGTTGTGCTTTCGTTGTTTAAGTGTATGGAGTGATTCGGTCGATCTGAATTTATTTTAAAATTATATCATTCGTTGTAATATGAGCATTTCTACTTCTTAAAACCGGTCGATTGCTTCGCGAAAGCAAACAGTGGTTCCTACAAATACCTGTTTCTCTGACACCTCGCAAAAATGGATGATCAAGCTTGTCCGAGATGCAAAACTACCAAATATCGAAATCCATCATTAAAAATGATGGTGAACGTTTGCGGGCACACGTTGTGCGAAAGCTGTGTTGATTTGTTATTCTTGAAAGGTTAGTGTTTTTTGAGGTTAATAATGAGGTAAGCAAAGACTCATTTGTATAATCTTGCAGGATCTGGATCGTGTCCCGAGTGTAAGATTCCTCTGAGAAGAGTGAATTTTCGCGTACAATTATTCGAGGATCCAATGGTGGAGAAGGAAGTGAACATAAGGAAAAAAATCCTCAGAGACTTCAACAAGAAAGAGGAGGACTTTGCAACGTTAAGAGAATACAACGACTACTTAGAAGAAATTGAAACGTTGATATATAACTTGGCTAATAATATTGATGTAATAGAGACGAATAAAAAGATAGAACAGTACAAGAAAGACAACAAAGAGCAAATAACAAAAAGCAAGTCGAAAATTGGTAGAAGTGAATACGAGTTGGAAGAAATGATCGAATTGGAAAAACAGAAAGAGGAGGAAAGAAGATTGGAAATAGTTAAAGAAGAGATGGAAGCTAAAAAGAAAAAGATCCGTGAAAAGGAAGCATTGATCGATGAGCTTACATTTTCAGAAGGAAATGCAAAGAATATTGTGGAGACGTTTGCTTCTGTCATGCAAGCATCGAAGAAGGAACAGAAGACAGCGTCTAGTAAAGTCAATCAATTTAGCACAGGAATTAAATTTGGCAATCAGGGAAGTCAGAATTACATGCCCATACCAAAGATCGAGGAAGGTCCTCTGTATTCTTACACCCCTATTAGACAAGGAATGGATGGTCCAACGCCACCAAGTTGGAGAGAATTGCAAGCTCGTGGATATATTTCTCATGTACGCGTCGAATCCGGGGCAGAAAGGGCAGGTGGATTCAAAGCACATGTTGCATGCTTAAGAGCATTGCAAGAATCCATGGCTGGCTTGTATTATAATCCTTCACAACGCCAAACAGAATTCACAACTGTATGATCGTATAGACTGTTTTAATACCAAGGAAATCATATCTCTAGTTTTATACATAGAACAGTATCTCTGATTGATCATCATTCAATAAGTAATACATGCCAAGTTAATTACATGTGACATAATAAGAAATTGTAGGTAAATGTGCCTTGTTGTATAATGTAATTTTTAGTATTGCGTATTGTATATTATAATATAAAAGCTACACCACTGTAGTACCTGGTTAAGTTCATACAATGAAAACAATCATTCTTTCATTATCTTGTAAAATAAAATTCATTTTGTTAAAAATAATAGTTTATATTAATTTTTCCTTTCGCCTTATCATTGACAAAGAATAAAGCTTTGTTTCTGTCAAAATGCTTACAGTGATTGAAATTAAAATTAAATATAACTATGAAGGTATAAATCATTGTAGATGGAATATAGAATTTTTACGCATAGAAGTAGGATAGATAGAAGGTGATTGTGATGAATTTCTTGGATTCCCTCATTAAGATGGTTAAATATAAAAGACGAACATCATTATAAATGTTTCGATCTGTCAAATAAAATATGTAAATCTTTATATATATATATATATTGTAAATTGAATAAGCCAAGTACTGCCATCTCTCGAAACAAACGTAAACGAAAAGGATGCAAGCTTCGATCGCTACGAATAGACAGATCACAAACGAGTTGATCAAGCAGTGAATGCGCCCAAAATATAATTTAATATATTAAATAATTTAATATATTTTTCTAAAATAGAATTAGAGAAATATAATTTAAGCAGAAATTTATTTCAGTCATCTCGTAAAGACTATTCTGTTTTGGATATTTCATAGAATTTTCTACATTTAGTGCATTCTACGTACAATTTTCTTTTGTTCATGTGAAAAATATTTATGAAAAAAATTTAATAAAATGTATTTAATTACCATTAGGCAGGATCCAGGCATCATTCCACAATCCATGTTATTCCATCTTTTATCCATCCACATGGATCCATTGATAAATTTGTAACATACTTATTTGTTGGACTAGTAGTTTAAAAAACTTAACACAAATATTCCACACCACTAAAACAGTCCCGACATTTGGAAAAAAAAGCAAATGAATAGCCAGAAGGACTAGACTACTGAAAAAAAAAACGCGATACAATAGACAGAAGAGCTATTACAAAACATTTCCTACTCAACAATTCAATAACCAGAGGTCTACTGTACGATTATCTACGTTACAAATCTGACAAACAAACTGTATCTTGTTTCGCAACACTAATTCACTAGCATTAATTGTGAAATAGAAAATCTTCAAAATCAAACGCGAAGAGTGCTTCGTCATGTTTAAAACTCCCGAAAATATGTACATAACGCTATTAAACTATGCACTCATGTTTAAAAATGCGTAACACTAATTCCGACGCGTTCAGTGCAACCATGCTGAAGGTTGTTGATGAACTACCAGCTCTGCACAGTTCTTGTTCAGCTGCATTAGGTGATTCAGGAGCAAAAGCAAACTTCCACGAACCCAATGGAAGAATTTGGGCATTTTGTAAATGTAACGCTAATTCAAGAAACGCGATCATTTATTATCGCAACACTAAGAGAAAAACTAATTGGAAGAGTATCGCAATACTAAGAGTAGGAGTAACTGGAAATTGCGATGAAACAATATCGCAACATTAAAATTAAATTCAATGAAAATTACGATGAACAATATAAAACTGAACGAACAGAAAGCTAGTTATTAGATATTCTAACAATCTAAAATTAATTAATAGCAATGACTATATAATTTAATTTAAAAATAGAAATATTACACTAACACTTAAAACAAGATAAATTTTAAAAACAACTATAAAAATTCGAATCAAAATTGCAAAAGACAATCGCGGTGTCATAATTCGCAACTCTAAAGCAAACACGATTATCATTTGTTCGCAACTTTAAAATAAATCGTAAATAATTTCTCGTAACACTAATAAACAGGCACGAAACTAATTCGCAATTCTAATTTAACCCGTGATCAATCTGTCGCAACAGTAACAAAAAAAATTCGCGGTATGCCCAAAACGATGACATACAATGATGAAGAGGAAAAAAAATATAACTACAAATACTAAAAGAGCATAGTGACAAAGTAGTAACGAGAATGACTTCCCATGCTCCGGAATCATTTAAATGATCCAGAGAATGAGAAGCCATTTGCTGTGACCCTCTTCGTGGCAGTTTGCCGGGCCTCTTCGGCTTTTAGCCTCTTCTTTCTTTAAGCGCAATGCCCGCTGAAATTTACGTCTAGCTCGAGTTTTTCTAATCGGAAACTAAAAAATAAAGGCGAAATAATAATATAAATCGCGAAAGTTAACTCTAATGCACATGGACGACCATTTCACCGTAATCACTTAAAAATAGCTATTAATTTTATTATCACCATGGAAATGTTTACAGAAACTTATATATATTGTAACCATAATAGAAATTCTTCATTCGTTATTTAAATTCCATAATGTAATCTTCATTAAATTATTAGTAACTGTATATTTTGTTATATTGATATTATTTTTATATAAACAACTAAAATTAATTATGGTGTTATTATTAATTTGTAGTATTGTGATATAAATTTAAATTATCGTAATCTCTACAGGGCAACAAACACTAGCGCCACGTAGTGGCGAAATTGTGGAACCAAGACTTCGTAGTCCATATTATGAATATAATTTATTTTAATTATTTGCACCAATAAGTAACGTTAATTAAGCGTGCAGTTTGCAGATACGCCCCATGGTTATAGATGTAGCATGCTAATGCGGGAAAAAATAATTTATTTTATTCTACGTTAAATCGTTTTCAATTGTAGTCAAGGTTGTTAGTTCCAGCAATGCGCCAGAATGTGGCGCTGGTGTTTGATACCACGTAAAACAGAAAAATATTCATTTGCAAAAAAATCTAATTTAGAGAATTAAATTGGAAAATTTTGTAATTGTATCATCTTAATTAGACTCTCAGCTTCAATTCTATACCCAATTTGAACCGTAATATGCAGAAATAAAAATTTTAAAAAATTGTTAGTACGAGGTAGTTACCGACAGATAGCGCCACCATGTCAAAAACTGAGTAAATTTGAACTAATTGCAAAAAAACCCTGATTAAGAGGAGTAATTTGACAAGTTTTGAAATTGCGTCGTCCGTTTAAGACTCTTATCTTTTGTTATATGTTTCATTTACGTCTCAAGGTGTATCAATAAAGATTTTCAGAATTCATTATTGCTAGGATAGCTCAGGTGGAAAGTGCTAGTAACTGTTTATAGGAATATTTTGTGTTTCTTTGTATCTCTTTTTGTCTTACTGAGTGCAAAATCTGTTCTTAGTTAATCCTTGATCTACTGTTATTATTTTTTAAATGTTTTTGATTACAGTGGCACTTAACCCCAACGCACTTAACCTTAAACCATGGATTTTCTCTTTCAGAATGTTTCTTTCAAAGCTTCTTACGCTCAAGCTACTCAACAATCACAATTCCATACACGAGAACTAGCAGTCATATTAAACTCCATGAAAGATACTTGGATTCAAGAATTCAATGTTGAAGTTGTCAACTAACTGGCCCATCGAATATTAAATTTATATTTAGAATTTCTCAAGGCTGAGTTTGTTTATACTAGGATAATAAGGACACGACTGACAGGTTAACTGATAATCATACGGAAGTAAACATTAAATCTCATTTCTTGGGAATTTGATGAATCGTTTTTAAATCTAAATGCATAATATCTTGTAACGTCTGTCTTATTTTGCATAGTATTATTAGAATCATTGTCCAGATCATCTTCAAGAACTGGTTGAAATAATCCAGGCCACACATATCTTGAGCTTTTGTTGCCAGATGTATATTCAATCTGAAGACATTCCAAACGTACATAAATCCATCTAAATAAATTATGATAATACATCGTATTGGATATATCTATTAGCAGAAAAAGTAGTCTGTTCCTTATGTAGGGAAGAAAATCAAGTGGTTATATTTTGTAAAAACTTTGACCTCCAGCCATTACTTTTACACAATTCTAGATCATGTCACAAAGAAATAATGTTCCAATCGTGCAAGAACAATCTTTTTCTTAGTTACCTTCATTCCAGATTTCTGCTACATCATTACCTCTGATACATAAACTGCAAGCTGAAAATATTAGAAACTATGCTCTTGCCACCACCAAGATGCATCAAGAGACAGCTTATTATCTTCAGCTCTTTCAACAACTCTTTTAGTGATTTGAATGTTCAAAAATGATAGTAGACATAAACCAGTTGTTTCTACCAAAGAAACCAGGAAACGCAAAATAGCTAACAGAGCAGACTTCCTTAGAAGATATCTTTTTGCTACTGCTGCCTGTCAAAGATTAAATCTAGGATCCTATTCAAAATCATCCAGTGAATTTTCAAAGTGAATTTTGTATAGCTGTTATTAGACAAATACGATAATCCCAAAGTCCTTGAAGCACCAGCTCTAATAAAGATGTTTTCCTCTTCTTTACAGAACTTGAGATAAAAATCCACATCACGAGAATTGTCAAATGCCTCAACAGTTCCTATCCAAAAGATGTTATGAGCGATGATTTCTCTGTTCTGACAGAAGACTAATTAGATTAAAGTTATTTATATTTTCAATTATTTTATAACGTGGTTTTCAGGCAAATTACTAACATCAAATCTCCTGACATCTTAATTGAGCTATCCAAATTTGAACATATTATTTGAACTATAACTCTTTGTGTAAATAATGTAAAGCCAGAACTGGATATATTTGTCTGCTATGTAGCTCCAGGCTTCACTCTTAGACAAGATCATTGGGATCTAATTGTTTAAAATATGGACACTAAATCAACTGCATTCTAGCAGATGATTTTAATGCTTATCATTCTAATTGGAATTGCACATACAGATAGCAGTGGTAGAAGATTTCATAATGCCGTGAAAATTGTTGATTTTCTATTACACAATGACAACTCTTGTACATATATTAAGGTACACAAAACTTTTATTTGCAATATTGTTCTCTTATTCCCTACTATGAATATTTGTGACAAAATTGATACATTTGTATACGATGAAACTCGGAGTTGTGATCACTGCCCTATTTGTTTTAACATTAATATACATAAAAACTGTTTCGAGAAAGATTAAACAATAAAGACATAAACATATGTATAATTTATTGGACTGAATACAGTGATGCTTCATCAGTAAAGGAATATAAATATAATAAGAATATGAAATATAAAATAAGAATATAAAAAGAATATAACGATTCAGAGATTGATGGTAATTGGGATGAAAAATTTATTATACATTTAATTATTTACATCTGTTTAAAAATATTAGAAAGAATTGATTAAAATAATTTTTATCTTTTTTATATATTTGGACGTATCAAATCAATATTTCTATAAATACTGTTACTTTTTATCCCGAGTTTAGTTTCGCGCGGAATGCGCGCGTATTGGGTTTAAATTAGTTAACGATTACAGCGCCAGTACACTGTGACACTTCCTACGATTCTCGAACTCGAAATCGATATTGCTCATGATCGATTTTTAAACAATAAGTATGGCGGAATCAAGCAGATCGCATCTGCAAAGAAGAAAATATAATCCAGAAGTAAGTATCATCCCAAAGCACTTGTGCAACAATTTTAATCAATAGCTATTAGATTTATGTTTGCGTTGTGAATTTTTAAATTGAAAGTTGCATTTTTGACTTCATTTCAGCGAGATCTGTTAGATTACTGAAGTGTATTATTTTTACAAATAATTATTATTACATATGATTTTCAAGAATTAAAAATAATAGCATACAAATATTCGAACACACTGTACCAAGAGTTATTTATAATCTTATACCTAAATTTAGTATCAATTCTAATTACTGCAAATGTTGTGACCTTGTAACGTTGATTAACTCAATCAGTGTTCTGGCACACTATTATTAAATTCATCATGATCCTGAAAATTAGAATCTTCTCTTTGCAACTAGCCCGCGAAACCTGTTGTAAAATTTATTTTCCTCATTTCATTGATTTTGTCATTTTATTAGGGCTAAACAATGAAATGTTAGGATTTCTTGAATTTTTGTTGTTCAACTCCAATGTTTGAAGTTCAACAAATGAACGAAAAGTAATCATACAGGTTTAGTTTTAAGATTTCATTGTAAAGGAAAGATTTTTATTATTCAACATCATGATTAATCAGTTACGACAAAAATTTTTCAGTGATAAAAAGAAACTTCTTTTTGGGGAGAAGTTTGTATTCTTATAATTTTCGAGAAAACAAATTCTTACTTTTTCGCTTGTTGGGTAGTGTAAAACTAAATATGTATCTTTGAACGAAACAAGCAGAAGATTGTTAAAGATGAAACTTCACTATTTAAAATAAAGCCAAGTTAATTATTCTACAATTTCTTTTTCAGGTAATTGTAACATTTTAAAACATTGACATTTTTTTTATCTAGTGTATAAATAGTTTTGTTCTTCTTTAAGAATTTCTTATGGATTTTGTGTATTTGAGTCAGACCAGAGTATTTTATTTTTTATTCCAAGTTAACATTTCGTTCGAAATGCGCGCGCATTTGGTTCAAATTTGTTATTGACTACAGCGCCAACGGTGGAATACGCAACATACTTCCTACGATTCTCGAACTCGAAATCGATATTCCTCATGATCGAAATGTAACTGGAAAGTGGCGGTTAAAAGTGGCGGTTAAAGATGGCGGAGAATGAAGACGAAAGTATTATCCAGGAAAATCAACCAGAAAGAAGTGCAGAAATTCTCAGGTAAGAATTTAAATCGGTAACTGTTAGATTTGTGTTTGTGTTGTGTATGTTTAAGATGAAACATACGTTTTTGGCTTCAGTTCAAAATTTAACCAAATAATTACTACATATAATTTTCAACAATTAAAGAAATAATAGCATATGAATATTTTATTTCCATATATACCTCATTTATAATATCATTTAATTAATACGCGTGTGTTTAATCATTCATTGAACATTATGGTAACCAAATCATGTAGTGCTTTGGAAATTTTCGAGCAGATTTTCCTTCAATTGTCGATTTCAATTGTAAGGTTATTGACAGATCATCTCGTATGTCTTTTTAATAGAATTTGAAGTTGTTTTTCTTTCGTTTGCGTTTATTTGACATATTTTTTCTGACTTTCGTTTATTTGACATATTTTTTCTGACTTCAGTTTCTCTTTGTGCAGGTGCTTCATTGCAGATAGCATAGAACACATAGATGCCACGATCATTAATGGACAATTTGATGAACTCACGGAAATTTGGCAATATTTTATTCGTCTTGGGTAACATTTGGTATACAATTCATATATATTTGAGATACAATTCACAATACGTAATTTCGTAATTATTTGGAATACAAAGATGAAAATGGAAAAGATTAAATTAATCAATATTTTATTTGGATATATACCAGCTTAATGGTATACATATGCTATCAAATGGATGTATATTCTTGTATTAAATTATCAAATTCATAGTTTCCATACTTTACCGTATTATATGTTGTTTATTATTATTACTGTACTTGCTTTTTTCATACGTTTTTTCAACGAAATTGAAACGGTTCAAAATAAGATTTCACACGCGTTTATTGTGGTATTGCTTCTTAAATATATTTAACTAATTTTGAATTAGAAATTATGATTTGTACAAACATTTCGACTATTGATACATTACTAATATGTGTACTTCCTACTCTAATAACAAACATTCAAAATACAATAATTGTCTTTCATTTACAGTATTCAGTATTGAGAAGAACTTTATAATTTACAGTTAACATCTTTAATATATATTCAAGTTTCTTTATAATCATGTTCTACAAAAATAGTAATATTTTCTAAATGAATGTATCCTCCCTCCTCCCCTCCCCTTTCCCCTCTAATCAACTTTATTTTCAGAAAGTTTTTGTGACCGCGCGCAATGCGGTAGGTAGAGTCAGTGTTTGTCACGAAGTATTTTCATATTTTTTTGAGTAAAATGGCTTTTGTTAAATTAAATAATTCATTTAATTTATAATTCGCGAAGTTAGAGTCAGTGAGGTTGCCGATGTTACTTGAACGCGCGTTGATAGTCTTTTATTTTTATTTTTCTATATTTTTTCTTAGTCTTTCTCATTCATTTTCGGTATATTAGAGTCAGTGCTCAAGAGGATAAGGAGATCAAGAACGTAAGTATTGTACTTTAATTCACTCAATTTTTCAAATTTGACAATGAAGTATAATGTTTATCGTTTTGTTACAGACGCTTTATGCTACATGTTTTGTTACAGATCTTCTGCAGTCTCTGTATCCCCTACTCCTCAAAGAATCTTATGACGCTTCAAAACCTAGAAATGTAATTATTTTTCCATTGTATTTAAATTTTATTCCCTACAATTTTCTCTCTATTGAAGTGAAACGTAAAATTATAATTATAAATTAAGAACATTTCACATTATTAATCCCAATTTTTATCATTTATAAAATTTCACTTTTAATAACACTGTGTCTTTAGAAACGAAATGTTTTATGTCTTTTCAGAAATTTTTCCTTTCCACCATGGGATTCTCAGTGATATCCACTTGACGAGAGATAACTTTCCCTGCTCCAGTGCAACATCTATGATAACGTTCTTCACATCTATCGCGTGAGTCGCATGCATTTATGTTCCTCCGGTCACTCAATCATGTCGTAGGACGATAGGTCCGAATCGGCACGGGTGACTGGTTGTATACGTAGAATTTTTGGTGAGCATAGTGACCTTGGGTATATTTTATACCCTTGAGTAGTAACAACTTTTTCAAGTTTTTTATGTATTAGATCAGGATAGGGCTTCTTGCACATCGCGATTTTAACAATTAAAATATACACTTATAGTAATTACTTATAAAATCAAAATATATCCAGTATGAATGTTTGCAAAAGTAAAATATCCATATGAATATCCATGTAAATAGGTAAATTATAAATGTTTATAAACAATTATTATTAAAACGATTTCGTTTGAGCATTTGATAGTAGAGAAGATGGATACCCTCCGACTTCGTTGCTATGAAGGATGCAATTATTATTTATTCATACTGATGATATATGATTTTGTTATGATAATTAATAATTAATAAATTTCGTTTTCCCATTTATAATAGCATTGATTGATTTAATTAATTAAGTTCTGTAATTATAAACTTCAGTAGAATATAAAATATAATAAACTAGATTTTTTCCGATGAAAAATGTATGAAACTTTATGTGCAAGAAGATACTTCGCGACAGGCAGATTTTTGAATCAAAGTAACAAGTTTGAACACTTTTTTCGCATTTTCGAAAATGTGCTTTGACGAAGAAGTCGCCTGAGATTGTTTTTCATTAATGTTTAGAGTCAATTGTTTGATTTTGATTGTTTAAATCAAGTGTTTGATTTCATATCATTTCTAATAAATTCAATTCTTTGTCTTTATTCTCTTACAATTTCAATAATTTCTGAAAGAGTCATTATAGTTTGAAATAAAATAATTCAGTAGTCCGTTAGATATTACAAATTATATAAACTAATTATTTTTTTAGTTTAGGATTTTCAGGTTTAATCCCTGCCGTGTTCATTGTCAGGATCTCACTCACGTGCTCAGGTGCTACTTGGGTGGGTGAAAGACATTGGGCACGATGACCATAGTTTGTAATTTTATAAAGTTTCTCAGCGACTGACAATGTGTTAGCAATTATCGTGCACGTCGTATTTTCCGCATGTGTGTGTGTGTGTTTAGGATGTGGAATTGCGACGTTTCTATTGTTTCATTCATTACTAACATTTAAAATATTTACGCAGTTTGAAGTATGAATTTATTATAACAGTATCTATTAAATACACTATAATTATATTAATAATTATATAATCAATTGTAACAATGATTCCATTTCATTCTGCACGTAAAATTTCTATGAAAATTATATGTATTTTTTTCTCAATTATTAATATCTCATCATATAGCTATAAACGTATTTTAGTCACGTTTTACGCAATGGTCGCTATCCATTGTCAGTCGATTTCAGGAAAATGGTACGTAAATTAGAGTGTGAAAGTTGTGTGCTAAGCTCGGGCGTCGGAGGTGTCCCGGGACGTCCTCTCTAGTTTAGGTCTCTGCGCCCGGGTGGTGTGTATGAGAATCGTGGAGTGAATGTGTTGGTGTGCCTGTTTTGCCATTTTTTAAATATAGGGGCCCTGGATAGGATAGGTAGCTTACTTTCTGGTATGAATGTGTTTAATTATAAGTAGGTAGGGCCGGGCAGGTTGGCACAGTCTGTGGTCGCGTGTCCCTCTTTCGCGTGTCCAACCTGTTTCAGGAAATCTAATTTGAAAAGTCGACAGTGAAACTGGTACAAATGGAGCATGCCACTTGTTTCTGGTTTTACTCTTCGATTTTTCGAATTTAACATCGCGATCGCGGTCGCGGGTAGGCCGCGAGTAGGTTCCGAAACGAACGTTCATGTAGGTATAGCTCGAGCACGCACATTCGAACGGCCAACGATCACTATGATCGATGGTCGTCCATGTGTATTGATTAGATTTCGCGATTTATATTATTATTTCACCTTTATTTTTTAGTTTGCGATTAGAAAGACTCGAGCCAGACATAAATTTCAGCGGGCATTGCGCTCGAAGAAAGAAGAGGCTAAAAGCCGAAGAGGCCCGGCAAACTGCCACGAAGAGGGTCACAGCAAATGGCTTCTCATCCTCTGGATCGTTCAAATGATTCCAAAGCATGGGAAGTCATTCTCGTTACTACTTTGTCACTATGCTCTTTTAGTATTTGTAGTTGTATTTTTTTTTCCCCTTCATCATTGTATGTCATCGTTTTGGGCATATCGCGAATTTTTTTTGTTACTGTTGCGACAGATTGATCACGGGTTAAATTAGGGTTGCGAATTAATTTCGCGCTTGTTTATTAGTGTTACGAGAAATTATTTACGATTTATTTTAGAGTTGCGAACAAATGATAATCGTGTTTGCTTTAGAGTTGCCAATTATGACACCGCGATTGTCTTTTGCAATTTTGATTCGAATTTTTAAAATGATTCGAGTTGTTCTTAAAATTTATCTTGTTTTAAGTGTTAGTGTAATATTTCTATTTTTAAATTAAATTATATAGTCATTGCTATTAATTAATTTTAGAGTGTTAGAATATCTAATAACTAGCTTTCTGTTCGTTCAGTTTTATATTGTTCATCGTAATTTTCATTGAATTTAATTTTAGTGTTGCGATATTGTTTCATCGCGATTTCCAGTTACTCCTACTCTTAGTATTGCGATACTCTTCCAATTAGTTTTTCTCTTAGTGTTGCGATAATGAATGATCGCGTTTCTTGAATTAGCGTTACATTTACAAAATGCCCAAATTCTTCCATTGGATTCGTGGAAGTTTGCTTTTGCTCCTGAATCACCTGATGCAGCTGAACAAGAACTGTGCAGAGCTGGTAGTTCATCAACAACCTCCAGCATGGTTGCACTGAACGCGTCGGAATTAGTGTTACGCATTATTAAACATGAGTGCATAGTTTAATAGCGTTATGTACATATTTTCGGGAGTTTTAAACATGACGAAGCACTCTTCGCGTTTGATTTTGAAGATTTTCTATTTCACAATTAATGCTAGTGAATTAGTGTTGCGAAACAAGATGCGGTTTGTTCGTCGGATTTGTAACGTAGATAATCGTACAGTAGCCCTTCTGGTTATTGAATTGTTGAGTAGGAAAGGTTTTGTGATAGCCCTTCTGGCTATTGTATCGCGTTTTTTTTCAGTAGTCTAGTCCTTCTGGCTATTCATTTGCTTTTTTTTTCCAAATGTCGGGACTGTTTTAGTGGTGTGGAATATTTGTGTTAAGTTTTTTAAACTACTAATCCAACAAATAAGTGTGTTACAGATTTATCAATGGATCCATGTGGATGGATAAAAGATGGAATAACATGGATTGTGGAATGATGCCTGGATCCTGCCTAATGGTAATTAAATACATTTTATTAAATTTTTTTCATAAATCTTTTTCACATGAACAAAAGAAAATTGTACCTAGAATGCACTAAATGTAGAAAATTCTATGAAATATCCAAAACAGAATGGTCTTTACGAGATGACTGAAATAAATTTCTGCTTAAATTATATTTCTCTAATTCTATTTTAGAAAAATATTATTATTTTATTATAATCCTTGCCTAAGCGGCTTAGGATGCTCCCGGTTTACAATTAGTTTACATCTTTCTTTCTTATTTTCTACTTCTATTGCTAATCCTTAATGTCTACATCTTATGGATCTAATTTGTGTTGTGCTCATCTTCTTGTAGGAACTATAAGTAAAAAGTAAAAAAAACTATCTTCTACTGGCTTCTATTATTGCTTTTTCTTTGGTATTGTTTTTCTGTTTTTTGTCTTTGGTATTGTTTTTCTGTTTTTCTGTCCTTTCTAATCCTCTGTCCTGCGTTTCCTTTATATGTTTATTCCTCCCAATCCTTCTAACCTCCTCCTCTTCTACGTGGTCGTTTGCCTCTTCTGCGCTTCTCCTTTTTCTTTCCCGCTGTATTCTCTTCATCTGCTCTAGCCCTTCCCGGCGCCCCTCAGAACTTCTTCTACTCTCAGGTCTCCTTTCGTAGCCTCATATCTTTCTATCACATACCTTATTGTTTCTTCTTCCTCTTTGCATTTTCTACACCATCTTCCTCCTCTCTCCAGTGTTGCCTTCCCCTAACTTCGTTGCCGCATCTAAACCTTGCTATCAGGCTTCTTTCTTTCTTTCTCATCCTCCGCTTTAGATATTCTGGCCTTTCTTTCGTTGCAATTTTTTTGTAGTGTACCTTGTTCTTTGACTCTTCAATCTTTCTTCTCCTGCTTTCCCCTTCCATCTCCTCTATCCTTTTCCTTACTCTCTTTGCAACTCCCTCTGTGTTTCCTTTCTCTTCCTCTCTAGCTCTTCCCGTCCAATCCTCACTGATTCCCAGTTTTCTTCTCAGTCCTCTTCTTCTTTTTTCTCATACACTTAGATTTTTCTCCCCCCTCTGCCTTTCCATCTTCTTTATACATTCTCTCACTAACTTCTTGTCTAAATTTCTTGCCCTTTTTTCATACATAAACGCTCTCCTCACTGCTTTTGTTCGTATTTCCTCCTCTTGTGTCTCCTCTCTCAATATGTAATTTGGTGTGACATTGTTCAGCCCTAAGATCCACTTCATATATCTCCTCTTGATATTGTCCAACCTTCCTTCATCATTCCAGCCACACTCTCCACTAAGGCCACGAACATCTTTATCCTTCTTTCGAAGTCTTCCTTAAATAACCTTTCTCCAATGTGCCACGTTCTTTTCATCGCCACCACCTTATCCTTTCCTGTATGTGTTTCTTTGCTTTTCCGTTCTTTTCCATTATGTAGCCCAGATATTTCATATCCTTTACCTCTTCCAGTTCCTCCTCTCCCCACCTCCATTCTCTCCTTCTCCTTCCTCTTTCTCTGCTTCTTTCGAAAAAGAGTACCTCAGATATTTACAGTCAGCCTTTTCCTCTCTACATACTTCCTAAACATCTTTTCAGCATCCCCTTCATCCACACTTCTGACGTCGCTAAAAGCACGCTGTCATCCG